AGGGGCGTAACATTTCCGTCACATGCTTGAGGTATTCGGCCAATCACAACGCATTGGATAGCTGGCCAATCAGAGCACACCTCGCTTTTTCAGAACGATGAGCTTTGTAAAAATCTACGCGTTTCAGAAAGGCGGGGCATAGAGGAGAAACAATAATGTACAGTATGTGGAAAATAATGTGTTTTTTTAACCTTAAACCGCATAAACACATTTCATTACATCAAATACACAAAATAATGTTCTTTTTAGCAACATCATATGACCCCATTACATTTTTTTAATGAACATACATAAAGGCAAATACACACATTTACAGCTCAAATCAAATTATAACAACAATAATATATATATAAACAATATACAAAGAACCAGGAAAATAACCAAAAAAATAAAAGATTGAGCCGGGGTAATGTATAAATTAAAATAAATTAGATTCAAGAATAAAGAAGAGGAAAGGAAAAAGAAAAAAAAAACACCTTTTTATCTTTTCTCTCCTCTTCCCCTTCTTTTTTTTTTTGCTAAATCCCTCTCTCCCTTATAGCCTATAAAAACACATAGTCAATAGCACATTATAAAAATGCATAAATATTATACTTTGTGCACAACGTATAGGATTTTAAGGCTTTGACATTGCTGGAAAAAGAGATAGTATTCAAATAACATTTCAAGTCTTTACAAAAAAATAATAAATAGTTTAACAGACAAAAAAAACTGAATTTATGTATAAAAACACTTATACTTGTCTTTTAGATTCTTGTTAGAGTTATAAAAACCAAATAAGACGTAACTAACTATTCGTTGATGTCTTGCTCTATTTTTCCCATGTGACGTCACAGATCATAATATCCAAATGAGCCGTTGTTGGAGCTTGATTAAATAAATGCTTTGTTCATAATGAAGACATTTTAAGCACTTGCAGGATGCTTTAATACACTTTGGTCAGGTTAGACGCCATTTTAAATGCAATTTATTTATTTATTTAGAAAAACCTTTTCATCAGCTGAACAATCAATACGTTGTTAAACAACAGTATAATCCATTAAACACATTTAAAAATTAAATATGTAACTACCCTGACTATACAGAGACCCCTTATATGTCGAAAGAGCAAGGCCAATTTGATTTCTCATGTCCTGACTCCTTTAAGTGACAATAATTTTAGTTAAAGTATTTTATTATACAGATACTTATCTTTTAACTTCAGCAGAAAATAAATAAAGAAAAAATGTTCTTAGACTTATCACAGCTTTAACGCTGATTCTCGTGCACTGATTGTCATGACTACAGCAGGGATGCAGAGCGAGAAGGGTCTGACTGAGATATAATTTTAGCCATAACTACATGATTTTCCCCACAGCAATAATAAAAATTAATGAAATGTTATTTTTCTGTTCACATACTCAAACAATTTCGGCTCTGGCCTCCCAGGGGCCGAGTTTAGGACCCCCAAACTCCATCTAGTGAATAAGTGTCTAACTATGTAAACGGTTAAAAGGCCAGTAAAGGCCAGCAGGACTGACAGTCTGACTGCATAATGAGCTTTACCATATTTTTGAAGCAGCGGACAGGCTCTTTGATCAAGGCTCTGTTTCCTCTCTGACGAGGAGGCCTTTTGTTTTGGGGCAGGTTTGATAGGCATTTTGACAGCTCGTGAATTGCTGCTGAATGCCTGAGCGATAGCAGAAGCAAAGAGCCATGCCCTGCACACACACACACACACACACACACACACAGAGATATGCACAGTAATGAAGAGCTAATTGTTGTTGGGATAGAGCCGAGTCTGTGTGTTTGTGAGTGGGTGGCCAGCCCGTTTGCCCATTACTCGCTCTGAGCCGGACATGAGGACCGCAAACGAGAAGGAAAGATAAAAAATGGAAGCGTATTTGAGCGAAAAAGCGTGCGAGAGGGAAGAGAGAACGCTTTTGAATGCGGAATGACTGTTCGGCCCACTGCTGTGGAGCTTTCAGGTCGGTTCCCAGAGGAGAAAAAGGAAAAAGCTTCCAAACAAACACACTTGGACTGAATTCATAAGCAAACGGGACTCACCACCTACCCATAACTGCGTGTTTCTGAACTGCAGAGCCTCTGACTCTCTCTCTCTCCCTCCACCTTGCCTTTCTTTTCCATCTCCTAACTCGCAGCTTTTCTTCATCCCACATTCACTTTCATATTTCACTCCCCCTCCTTCCCGTTCTCCGAGAACAGACACAATAAATTCCCACGCCCAGCCATATTCTCAGAAATGAGAGGGCGAAAGGGGAGCCATGTCCCTTTCTTTTTGAGGTAATTAAGTCTCTAAGGGGGGGTTTGCGAGGTCTCAAAAATGTGCTTCAGTGTTGATCTGCAAACTTCTCAAATGCAAAAGCTTGATAAATATGATATGTCCCTGTCTTCTGATAGTGTGTTTGTTTATGTCTTAAAGCAACAGTACATACAAAAATAAATATTAATTTCCCTCATGTTATTCTAAATTTCAGTGGATCACAAAATGAGAAATGATCTTTGCATGTTCTCATTACACTGTATAAATTGAAACTCGAAAAAAATGTGCTAAGTCAGTAAAAATAGGACACAGTGTGTGTTAACTGTTTTCATATGAAGAAATTTTCCACATTCATTTTAAGATTATAAACTTAATGGATAATGTCCTGGCAGAATTATTTTTTTTTTTTTGGTAACATCTAAATTAACTGATTTTATTCACGTTATATATATATTATTTAACATTATTAAATAATATAATTTCGGTTTTTAAAGATCTGATGAGGTAGAAATAGCTTTAAAAACTAGTCTAGTAGAATTTGTACATTGTATTAAAAACTTTGAATAAAGAGAATTAAAATAATATATTTAAATTTATTTAACATTATATGTTGTTTACATTTCATGTGAAAACATTTATTAAATTCAATAAATATTTAAAAATATAAATACTTTTGCACCATAGTAATGAGAAAGGATTTATGTTAAGAATTAAAAAAAAAAAAAAAAATCTTTCTTTTGGGCTGAAACGTTAAAAAATAAAATAAGGTTATAAAAGGAAAGCAAGCAATAATCAGGGACTGTCACGCTTCTCAAACGACCAAAAAGCATCATAAAAGTGCTACGAAATCCATCAGAACTCTGAAATCTAATTTGTGGATTCCCACATTCAAATTTTGCATGTCAAGATGCAAAGTTTGAGGTTTAATGATGGAGGATGCTGTTGATTTTTCAGTGTCTTCTAGTCAAATATGCAAAATTCAAATACTATTTGAGAGCTATGGCGAAGGGAAAAGCAACTCAAATGGCATCTTTAGAAGCTGTACTGTATGCTTTGGATGGCTGCTTCTTCTATGATGATTTTTGTTCTTTTTTTGGAATTTGACAGTGCCTGGTTATTATACTGTATGCCTTTGTTACATTGAAAAGAGCAGCTATATTCTTCGAAATGTCTCCTTCATGAAGCTACGCAAACAATCATGTGGTGGAACTTTTCCTTTTCAGGTGGAGGCAGTGAAGGAGATGCTTTATCAGCTAGAGGAGACCTACCTGAAGAAGAAGGCACTGAGAGCCACCAGACAGCAAAAGGCTAAAGAGAAGAAAGCCCTGAAAAAGCTGTCCCTCAGGAGTCCCTCCACACCACCCCAGGGCCAACTGAATGCAGGACCCTCAGCCCAGTCATCCAATAAGTGAGCACCTTCCGCCACCCCACAAACACTTATCTTCTGCCAAGAAGTAGGACACACCACCGAGCCATTACTCCACCCTCAGAGAAATAAATGGGCTTTGCGGGCGAACCATCATTCAGATCTGTCTTTTCTCAAATCATCCCACATTCATTTTACGACTCCCTCCTCCACACAAGAAAACCCCTTCCTCACATGAATGTACCTGGGCAGCTACTGGGTTGATTTCTAGCAACATGAATAAAATAGCACCTATTTTTAAAGCAAATATTGGGCTGAAAAGGGACTGTTTCCCTTAAGTAACCAATTCATACTGAATATGGATGAATCTTATGAACACATTTATGGGCTATTTCACCCCAAATAGGAAAAAAAAAAAATTAAGAAATAACTTCT